TTGATAATGACTTTTCTTTACTAAAGAAAAGATGCAAAAAAGTTTTGCTAATTTAATTGAAATTCAAATGATTTTCACCATAAACGATTTACAAATTCATCAAGTTGATTGAGTTGTTTGTTCTCTTATATGTCATAAACCATTGAATTGTTTTGATTTTAATAAAACAACAAAATCGTAATCAAAAAAGAAAATATTTCTTGAGGGTAAGGCTAAAGGTTGGATGAGAGAAGCTACCACAATACCAGGTATTTCGATATTGCTGGATAAATCTTATCAAGTGACGCAAGTATCAGTACAATGATCCAAAAATAAGAACTACATAGTATAAAATACTAAACAACTAAAGAACAAAGGACAAAATCTAGATGAAAAAGTGGAAAAAAGAAAGAAATATAACCAATCGTTAATGAATGTCCTATCATTAAAATTTAATTCATCATTTGATAATGGTTGAGTATTATTAAATGTGAAATAATGTGTGGGTTGTTTCTCATTGTTATACATTCTAAATACTTTATCTACTTTAATATTTTAATCATCATGTACTTGTTCTTCAACCTCTACTTTTACTTTTTATCTAGAGTGTGGATATTGACGTGGGTATGGGTTTTCGCGCAGAAAAGGATTTTAAAGTCAAGATTGACATCATGCCCCACCCCACATCTATACCCCCACCCCACACCCCAAGGAGGAAATAGCGAGACTTCATCTACTTTCGAAGTTTTTTGAAGTACGATGAAAGTATGATGGAAGTACGTGAGAAATACAGACTAAGAATATGAAATTAGAAGGGAAGAAGCAATGAAGCACAACGAACCATGCTGAACTATGAATGATCTCTCATATCAATATCATAGTTTCTGTTAAATACGCTATTATTCCAAACCATGAAATATAATACATCCAATAACAGTTTTCACAAGATAATTTTCTGTAGGGATGTCACTTTTGTGTTTCGTTCCAAGAAACAGGAACGTGACATGGATTCCCTTAACTTTTAACAGAAGGCTTCCGAATTCATCGAACGAAAGGCACTTTCTTAAAAATAACGATATTCTACAAAGTTTGACCAAAAGTAATCGGGGTCGAGCAATCCGAATCTGCAATCGGATTTTCATAATTTTGATTTGATTTTTATTATCAAGGAAAGGCTATTTTCTGAAAATAACGCTTTTTTATAAAGTTTGACCAAAGGTTATCGGGGTCGAGGAGTCTGAATCTGCAGTCGATTTCACAAAATTTTGAATTTGATTTTCTACATCAGAGAAGCATATTTTTGAAAAATAACGATTTTTTTGTAAAATTTGATCAAAGACAATCGAGGTCGAGGAATTCGAATCTATAATTCGTTTCTGTTAGGACCTGACCTCTATTGTCATTTTTGTTTCTCCATTCGTTATATGATACGTCGTCGTTTCTGTTTTTTTTCTCTCCTTTTACATTTAGAAATAAACAGTCAGTCAGATATTGTATAAGATTGAACTCACTTACCTTTATATTATCCACACATTCGTGGTGCAGTATCTTACAGTGGTGATAGCGGTGTTTGTGGAATCTCCTTCATGAAAGGAGTGTGCCGTAAAGCGAATTATTGATTATAAGTCTCATGGCTGCAAATACTCGATCGAACCAACAAGTTCAAAATGAATTAACTTCTACCTTGGAGTCTAATAACACTTTACCATTAATATAATTAGTTGAAAATTCGGATCAGAGACCGTCACAGGGCACTTTTNAATCAATAACACAATTGCCGTTCATTGATAGTATTAGTGATTCAAATATTCGACAAAAATTGTACAAGCAGTACAAAAATGTCACTCAACAAGCGAGAGCCGATATGATGACTATTTATATGAAATCTGTCGAGCCACAAATGCATGAAAGTAAAAAGCACTACAATGTGGCGATGAGAGCAATGTGGAACCTTCGCAAATCTATTCCAATCGATCAACAATCAACTTTTATGCCAATAGATCTGATCAAACAACGTTTAACCACTGTCGCTGCACGTATCGAGTGTATATACAAATTTAAAACTGAACTATTTCGTGTCAAATCGAATGCTCACTAACTGAACTTTCTCTATATTGTGCTGTAGTTTGTAGTTGAATCTATGATTTGCATTCTAATATTGATCTAATCGTACTCGTTTTCTTTTCCAGATGTATCTAAAACAGATTTGTAGATTGAAATCTATTCATCGTCATTAACTTTTCATTTAATCTTTTAAAAAAATCAGTGTCATACGGAACTTAGAAAAAGATTTAACAAGTTGCTAAACCGAAAAAGAATCTTCCCCTGACTACACAGGAAGGACCTTTACTTCTGAGCCTTTTTTTAGGTTTCGTAGACAAGAAAATGGTTTTGCACAAAGGCTACAAAACCTTTGAGGTTTCATAGAGTACCTCCAGAGTTTCATACGAAACCTTCAAAAATTTCAACTGAACCGCGAAGGTTTTGTAGCCTTTGTACAAAACCATTTTCTTGTCTCCGAAACGTAAAAAAAGGTTCAGAAGCAATGGTTCTTCCTGTGTATTCAGAAGATGATCCTTTTTTGGTTTATCAACTTGCAAAACTTTTTTCTAAGTTTCGTATGAAACCGATTGTTTTTAGGATGTAAGACTATCTCATTCCCATACTTCAAAATATTCGCGTTTGGTAGCTTGACTATTGTTGGTCATACCCATGTATCCGACAAAATTATCAGAACAAATTCAATGTTCATCCTTATCTTCTAAAAATCATGCTTGTTTCGTTTCTCACTTCAAGATGATTTCTCATCTGACCTTGAACAAAGTTGACCATGGTCTATTGTTAATTCCGTATTGGACATTCTTAGGGCCGAAATTCATGTTGATCGAAGATCATTGATAGAATTGTGATCTGCGAGACATGATCGAAGATATTCAATCGACTGATTTGTCTTTGATTCTCATTATCAATCGAGACGTCAATCTTGTTGTCCGTCGTTCTTAACTTCAATTTGAGAGAATTGAATATGAGTTGGGTCAAAGTTGGTCCAATTTATAAGGTTTTTTCATGATTAGACCAACATTTTTTTTAGATATTGTTCTTTCTCTTTTATGTAGTCTTTATTGAAACGATTTTTCCCAGAGTTTTTACGCTAACGAAATGAGGAGCCAACTGTGCGACGATTTTGAGAGAGGAAATGCCAGGGCGGATGGACTAACTCTTTATTTGGCTTCCTCATATCATCAATCGCATCGATTACACAGAGAACATGTGCTTAAATATATCATCATGAGAGAGAGATACCAGGAAGGGACATATACATCTTGTCACAAACTGTTTAACTCTCGTACTACCAACCAAGGTTATTTTTTATCCTGTTTTCTATACTACAGTCGTGAAAAAGAGTAACTGTCCATTACTTCCAATAAATATCTCAACATATTGGGCTGAAATTTCTACTGTTAATAGGACTTCGAGATCTGTCGTCCACAACATCAACATGAGTTCGGTCAGCTGCAACATGACTGAGTTATTATATGAACACCATTCCAAAGTTGAAACATCTATATCTCGGTTGCTTGAACATATATATCGCCGCGCGACATCCCATTCGAAAGCCTAATGTCTAAACTTTCTCTGGTAAAAATTTCATGAGAAACTACTTTAAAATGATTGAAGTATAATTTTTCATTGAAAATCTTTTCCGAGTACAATGCTCTAGTCATCAGTCGAGTACCTATAACTTGGCTTGTTTTTGCTCGATTTATTTGAAGTTTTGTTTGGTAAGTAGCAATGGGCTCACAAGTGTCTAATAGAAGTTTCAGAACCATAGTTTCTGATGAGACGGAGAAACAGTGAAAACGGCTATACTTATGATGTCTAAAATAGGCATGATAGTACTAAGGTTTTTAAAATATATTGAGCAATAGTTTCTTATTTTGGCTAGGCCAAGATGAACAAGATTGGTCTACTTTTTATCTTTACGCAAAGGTGACGCGTGCTGTTTACCTATTATGATTCAGCCGTAGAGGCCAAACAAAAATTGCTTGGTGTGCCCATTCTCTTCTTACTCTTTTCACGGAAAAGACGACATGTTTGCTCAAGGTACACTTAAGTCGCTGTTTTCACTTGCGCAATAAAAGTCTGATAAGCAATCGATGAATGACTCATTTTGTTGGCTGCCCGTACTGGCTTTTTTTTGCTTGCAAAAAAAGCAAAGTTAATACTCGAGTGTAGCGAAGCTGAATCACTATCAGTTGATATTGACACTATGATATTTTGGTACTATTATAAAAAGCAAATTTTTGAGAAACTGGTGTGCCAAATGATAAATAAGAGTGCTAATGAAAACTATTTCTAATGCTTCATATAACTGTTCGATTCATAAACAATAGTTCTTGTCCAATTCGATAACATCAGCATTGTCACGTGTAATTTGTAAAGTTGAAGCTTCTTTCAACTTCAATTCATTGATGTGATGCTTTAGAATGCCACTAGTATAGTTTTCGTTATTATTTAGCTCTTTCACTACCAAACTCAGTAAAGTCTTATGATACTCTACTAGGAGCTAAGGTTAAGAAAACTCATTAATATTTCCGACATTGCGGATGTGGGTGGGAATGCGGATGAAAGTTATCAGAAAATGCGCATACACACCCACACCCGCTCTTACTTTCCTCGACGAACAAATACTCTGAGTCACCTTGACACATCCCGATCATATTATTCATGCATGTGAAATAGTCTTTCTGCATCTTCTTCCATTCTCTTTCACGATGCAGCAAATTTTTCTTTTGCTATTACAATCTTCACATGGCAAATAGTTAGAACAAATCAATTCGTTCTTGTTCTGCTAAAACTTCCTGACGTCGGCACATACCTCTGTAGCTCATAGGGTCATATAAGTATTTTGACTTCAGTCAAACGTCGAATTAGTATGCACATGGGTGGGTGTAGGGCGTGTGGGTGGGGTATGTATGTCTTCTCTTCATCCACACCCACACCCTAGAAATGCTTACTTGTCAATTAACAATTGTACCGAGATTATCTTCATTATGCAGTAAAGCATGAGGCAAAGTATCACTTTCATCAGTTATTTCTAATGTATGTAGGTTACAAGCTAATTGTAATATTGGTGCAAGTTGAACTTCACTAATAGTTTGGAAATTTTCAATTGAAATTTTTGTTAACGATGACCATGAAACACATAACAATATTGAACTTTTACAATTGCTAATATCTGAAAGAAAAACTTCCCTCTCAGTCTCATGGATCAATAATTCATTAGCCTGTGGAAATAATTTTACTCCACTAACTGACATTTGACAAGATCTAAATAGAGAAGAGAATGTCTATAATAAATCTTTCACAGAAATAAAATATTTTATACATTCATTTGTAGATATTCAGAAAAGTGACGTTTCAAGAATTCTATCATTACATGGTAAAGTGTAAACGACTGAATAATAAGCAAAACCACTCTTGGAAACACAAGAAGTCTCTTGAATAATAACTGAAGGTCGTTGTCGATGAGTAAATGGAGCTTTAAAAAATGAATTCAGGATTTTCTCCTCAACATCATTCCTAATAATTACTAATAAATCAAGAGTATAAATAGTACATGGTTTGAGACGATCAATACACAATAGTTGAGTAGTGTCACGTGACACAAGAAATAGGTCAGATACTGATAACCATAGTTCTGATTTTAGTGACAAATGATTAAGTTGACCAAATATAGATGATAAAAGTGCAATGGCACAATGAAAACTTCTGTTACATACATAGTTTACACTAGTACGAGATAAATGACGGAGAAAACGGGTATTGTCAATAGTAGGCAGTCTAAATGACTTTATCTCATTGATACATTTACAAATCGCAGTATGTTACTTACGTTAATATATCGTTCTCATACATCTTTGAATCTTTTACACCAACAGAAAGATTTTCAATAAATGGTACACAAACAAGTAAATTTTCTAGAAAATGTGATATGCTAATATCAATGGTCAATGTACGAATATGAGTTGTGTTGAAAATATTGGGTAAAGTCATCAGTGGTGATACTGTTGAATATTTTGGTAATTTATTACGAGTATCAGAACAAAAATTAAATGGAAGACGACATTTTGTTAGGGCAGGTAATTGTGCGCACACCTTTTAAAAAGATAAGCAGCATGAAATATTATATATAATAATATTGAAAAATTTTTCTATCAAATAAATATGTATAAGCTTCATAATAAACTCAAGTTATGTTTTGTTTTCTTACCTTAACCAAATATGCTCCTTCGGCGACTTGACAGTTGAACAGGTTATATTTCCCTATATCGACAAGTGAAGTATGTAATTGTTTTATTAAAGAGTTACACAACAATTTATCAAATTCATGTGGTTAAATATCGATTAGATGAGGATGTCGAGGTAAGATTGTCTGATAATATTTTAGAGATGATGAAACAAGTGACCAGCCACCAATAATATTACTTAATGTAATATGTAATGAAACAACTCGAGCTCCTACTAATTTTAACACATGTTGACAAAGATGATTGAACATCGATAATGACATTGTATTACCACCAATATGGATATGCCACAAATATTCATAGATAAGAATTGTTGAAAAACGTTTCTTCAATGATAAAAATGATTGAAGAATTTCAGTAGGAGACAAATACGCAAAAATTTCAAAAAAAAATATCGATAGGTAGAAACTCAAGCTTGCTCATGATCATTCCCTTTATATTGTTTATTGATTCATATTCAGCTATATATATTATATGATACACGTTGGTCTGTTTTGTTTGACGGGTATTGTTTTTATAATTTTATCTCTTGCTTATTCTATACGAGTTAACCTCAACAAAAAACAAAAAAAGGCATTGCCACTAAAAGTTGATCAATATATGTTTGAACGACTTTCGTCTGATTTATCTATATTCACAGTCTTCAAGCAATATACGAAATGTAATTACTCAACACTTTTAGTCAAAAATTGTTCAAAAGAAAAAAAAATAATAATAAAATAAAAGTGATATATTTTGGAATTTAATTATGGATTCTTGACGAAAATAAAGAAAAACTATAGAAAGAAGGGTGTGGGTTTCGATATGGTGGTGAAGAGAAGACCCACACTCACACTCTCGTACTGTTTGCTCTTATTGACAAAAGTTTTAACAAGAATAATATTTACAATAACGGAAAATATTGATGATAACTTTTTGGAGGAACAAATGATTCCTTTATACAAAGACTGGTCAATTTACCACAAGTGAAACGTGTGGAATCATTGGTGAAATTGTTTGTGACCAATTCGACCGATTCATAGCCGATATTAAGGTTGAATAAACAAGGTAAATGACAGTGTTTATCGTAGAGAAATTGTTTAGCATAATCTATATGAGCGCAATCAAGGTTGAGAAAAATAAGATGAGAAAATATGATAAATGTTATCGATTGTTGCTTGTTTTTCTGCGACTTGTCATTAAATATATGCAATCGTTTCAACAGAGGACAACTGAGAGATGACTTTGAAGAAGTGATGCTCAAAAGAACGTATGTCTGCCACCATCAAGCATTGAACATTATCAAACATGCCATTTTAAAAACAATTGTTAAAATAAATAAAAACTTTTGAATTGATATGAAAGTGAATAGATGTAGCATCTACTTTCGTTTTCTCTTGAGAAAGTCTCAGCATGTGAACTAACTGGCCTATATCCTCTTCCAATGAAACTTCGCTGAATATCTTCATTGGATGAAAGAGCAATTCCAATATTCTTCTTCTTGACTACACTTGTGTCTATATTGAAAGTAAATTTGTTTAATCGTGGCATATAAATAAGATATCATCATATAATTGTATACCATCAATATAATTTGTGTCAACTCTTATTATTGACAAAAATAATATCGATTCCTCCAGACTTATCATTCGTTGAAGTAATGAGATAATCCGATTATCATAAACAACTGTGTGTAGATACGAGATTAATGAGAAGTGCTTCAATTTGGGAAGTTTTTTCTATAAAATAAGCTAAAACAAAGTATTTTTTTCTATTGAAACGCTATAATTGACAATTATACTAGCCGTTTTATCTATAGTTTCTAATGTATATGCAATTTCGCCCACGTGTATAATCAGTGTTGATAAACAATTGAAGCGTCCTTCAAGTAGATAAACACAATCATTGAAAGTGTTCACATTAATTTTCAATGCAGTCAAAGTTGAAGACTTGCAATTGGTTGATAACAAGTCAAAAGTATAAATCGCTGATCGATGATAGAATTGACAAAAATTTAACTTGATTAATCGTTTACATAAAGATAAAGTCAAAGCAAACATAGTAGAAAGAGTTTCAGAAAGTGGTGGCAGTGGTGTTGTCTGATCCTTAACATCAATTTGAAGACATGAAATTTGTTCAACCAGAAGTTTCAGAAGAATTGTATTACCTTCAGTTCACAGACAAAAAAGGAAAATGATTATTAACTTATGTCTAATGATTTCACTATTGTATCAATTAAAATAAAGAAAAGAAAATAGTTTACCTGTTAAGTATTTGAGAAGTACTTCTTCTTGAAAATCTATAAGTGATAACGAGCAAAGTTGAGGATAATGGATAGTATGAAGAACATGTTCCATTGAGTGTTGTTCAACAATGAGTTCATTCACTTTCTTGTATTGCATAAAAGACCCCATGACCTTACGGTTCTAAAGGGACAACAGACTAGTACCAAATAACAACAAAATACAGAGAAAAAGCATGGAAAACATGTGAAGGCAAGAACAGAAAAGAAATTAACATTAGCACATTAAAAAATATCAGGATATTCAGCGAACAGTTCAAGTTCCTCAGAGTTAAGTTCGACTATTGAATCTCCTACACCCCCATATTCTTTCAATCATTCAATAGATCTTGTAACCATATTCACATGCGGAACAAAACGCTTAGATCGTCTAAGACACTTGATTTGAAGATTGTCTTGTTGCCACTGAGAGCGAATATTATTAATCCAACATTGTTCTTGTAATAGCATACCATCAACAGAGTCTGAACCTGCCATTTTTTTAAAATACTTAGTCCAATAAGTAAAAGCATGATTTTCAAGCGATTTCTCATTGTAAGCAAAAGAGAAGAATAGATCGTTCCAATGACGGCAGTGATATATTTTTTTTAAAGATGTATAGTAATAGTGCGATAAATCAGTTATTTGAGCATGAGTAAATAAAGAAAATAATACGAATAACCATGTACAAAATGGTAGGACAAATGTGAAGAAAAGTATCCTTCTCAAACAAGGAGAAGTAGTTCCATTAAATCTAATAGAATTTATCATAGCTACTTGCTGTCTAATTCTTATTCGAAGTCAATTAATAATATTACTCCAACCTATTTTAGTTGTCACACAATAACCAAAATATTTATATATTTTAACCCATTCAATCTAATTACCTCCACAAGAGATTCGTGGCATAGGATTTGGATAATTAAAAGCACGGGCAAAAAACACAGTTTGTGTCTTGATATAATTAATAGGTTGAGCGAAAAGAATAGCATAGAACTCGAGCAAAACAAGGAAGTGATTTAGACGACATTCTAGGTCAATACATTGTTTTGTAAATTGAATACCAATTCTTGCTGCAATTACAACTGCTAAATCATCAGCATAGAAGAAAGACATTGCCATACATAGAAATTGTTCCGTATCAGAGTGATAAGTAATGAATAAAATGGGAGTAAAGCAAGAGCCTTGAGGGCCACCTCGTTCAGTTGGAAACCAACGAGATCTTTTTTCAGCTATTTATATAATAGCTCGTCTGTTATATAACCAAACACCAATCCATTTAATATCTGCTTTTGAGATAACCATTCTTCGTAGTTTTTCTAAACATCTTGCGAACCATAATTGATCGAATGCATATTTGAAGTCCACAAACACTGTAGCTACAGATGAACTATTAGACATATACGAAGTACGTTGCTCTAAGAATAATAATACTCGAATCTGAAGGCTTCGCCCAGGAAGAAAACTAGATTACGCTTCGGGAATTAATGCTTTGTCTTTAAGAATTGTCATAAAACGATTGAGATATAATCTTTTCTGAAGTTTTAATGAATCAATCAACGAACTTGGCCTTGCTTGATTAGGAGCACAAATAGCATCTTTTTTAGCAAGAAGAATAATTCTTACATCTCTGAATTTATCAGGCATTTAATAAGTACGAAATGAATGATTATATAGTTTCACCATAAAATGCCAATAATTATCTGGTAGTTGATTAAGAAGATAAGGAGATATTCCATGTATATCACAGGAACATTTTTTTCTTAAGTGTTTTAATAACTTTCAGTACTTCTGCATAGGTTACATCTGGAATTGGTGAATTATCTTCTAGATTTAAAGCCAGAGGAGAATCAGTATAGGGTATGGTCGTATGACAGTTGACTCTTCAAATGCTTTTTCATAATAATCAGCAGCCAACTGAACCATTGACGAAGCGTCACTCTCTATTTGACCAGATAATGAATTAAATCCTCTTAGTACTGCTGTTTGTTTGCGGAAAATGTTTTTTCGATTTACAATGAGTTCATTTACTTGATGATGAATTCGAGGTAAAATACTTTTACAAATTCTATCAAGAATTTGATTGTCTATTGAGTAGATACGATCATAAAATGATTTCATCGTCATAGAGATCATATCAAGATTACGAATATAAACTGAATCAAGTACTAATTGATCAAACCATCGAGTAACATCCACAAGTGAATAGAGAACATCGACCATATTTGGTTTGTTAAAAATTATGAATAAAATTTCATTGGACAAATCGAGTATATTGATATGATTGTTATTCAAAATG